ATTCTCCCCCATCTCTGTCTTCTTTTGGCCTTTATTTATTCTACCTTCTGGAAACAAATTTTATTCCTTCCTTACCAATATATTTAAACTATAAGTTTTGCCCATTAAGTATGGCTTTAGGTGCATCTTAAACATTTTAATATGTCATAATTTTACTGTGTTAATTCAGTTGAACATATTCTCTAATTTTCTCTGTGATTTCTTCTTTAGCTCATAGATGACTTAGCTTATCTGTTCTCTGTTGGATTTTGCCCCTCAAGCACTCACCACATTATTTCCTAAGTCCTTCAAGCATTTACTCACATATTTGTCCAGTTTCTCTCATATTTTTGGATAGAAGTATTAGCCTTATATAAGCTTTAATCTGGCTAGAAATTTAAATTGAGGCATGTTTTAGGTCTGTAAAATATATCATATATGAAAATGACAAATACTGTTAACTAAAGTATACTCTTAGCTGAATTCCTGGCACTTATAGAAGAGCATTCAGATGATATCTTGAAATTTCAGTGTATTATACAATTGTGCATAATTCAGTGTAACTTTTGTAGTCAATTCTATTGTACTACAATTGAGTGGTATGAGAAGTATTTACAATTTTTTGTATCTATATTGAAATATAGAATTAGAAAGGCATTTTTCCGTAACTTTCTTGTTATCTAGTTGTTCATTCATGGTGACTAGCTGTGGATTCCTCAAAACAGCCGACCCTGTCCCAGGATGAGGTAACAGAGTCTTGTTTCATTCAAAATCCCAAAGCAATTGCAAGTGATAAAGGGACAAAATATTTTGTACACAGGTACCTACAACTGAACTTATTTTCTAAATTGTGTATTTTATTTCATTTGGTTTTAAAGCTCAACTTCTTCCCCCATTTTATTGAGGTATAATTGATATATAAAACATTGCACTTAATTACCGTACATAGTTTGGTGAGTTTGGACTTCTGAACTAGAGTTGGAGAAAACAGCCTATATAAATTTCAAAACAAAAAGTAGTATGCCCATCAGTATTAGAAGATTAGTATTCATTCACTGCCTCTCATGTGACAAGAACTTCCAAGGATTATATAGACATATTATAGAATATATCCAGATAGCTGTATCCAGACAGCAGAAAACTGAGACTGACATGGGTAGAAATGTTGATTACAGGATTATCTGGGTAATTCTGAAATGCAAAAGACATTTATGAAGAGCTCAGTTTGTCCCGTTTAACAGACAGTTCCAATAATTTTATAATAATTATCCAATTCAACAAACCTGTGAGCTAATCACACATCATTACTGATGTTTTACTATTATTATTTCTGTCATTTTCCAGATGAGGTCATTAATTTACCTAATATTAATTCCTCAGAGAGTGACAGATTCTGTATCTGTACCTAAAACCTGATTCTAGACATTTGCTTTTAATCCCCCGTTTCCGCATCCCACAGTAGTGCCTAAAAGTTTGACCTGAAGCATCTGTGTGCACTGGAGGAAACTGTTTTGAGACAATTGTGTGTCCTTTAAATATGGACATATCAGCCATGTGGGGCTGGATCCAACAAGCCCAACCTGTTTGCAATAAAAGCCTGTGGGGTCTCCCAGGTTTTTTCTACCCATTCCTTCAGTCTATTTCTGAACTAGTCTACTGCCTCTTGAGTTTTTGTTTCGCTGCATGGACTGTGCCTCAACTTTGCAGTCCTGTAAACCACATCCCCCCTTATTCTGCTTCCTGATAACCTGGGTGCTCAGCACAGCCTGCTCAGGTGGAGTGTTGCTTCCATTTGTTCCACTTGGATACCCAAATGCTGACCATCCAGATCGCATGCTGCCCTGCAGATTGGTATGTATACAAGTTGGTCTAAGCCAGGTCCCAGGCTTTTGGGAAAAGATGCTTCAGCTGAGCCAAATAACCAGAGAAATGAACTGTATTCAGAGACTGTGAAAATATCAGTGCTCAATAAAATAAAAAATCAGGGCAGGAATATGGCCTATGACAGAGAAAATTCTCTAAGAACAGGTATTTGGACAGGATGGGAAATATTTGCTTGCTTCTCTTGAAAGCACTGCCCAATGTTTCCAGTTATTCCATCTCATATTACAAAGTCATGGGGTACAATTTTAGTGTCTAATAGTGTATGTGAAATTTTGCCGTATAAAACTAGAAAATATAGTTCACTATGAGATGGTAGAACATGAACACGATTAGAAGTCACATGGTGGGGAACTGAAGGCAAATGCTGTCCCACAGCAGCTGCACAGCCTTGGGCAGGTAAGGAAATGTTCTTCATTCCACTGTGTGTGAGGACATGAGATAATCAAACGCTATCTAGAACGTCACTGTCCGTTATAGTATGTACTAGCCATGTGTGGCTTTTTAAATCTGAAACTAAATACAAATCCAGTTCCCCAGCCACTCTACCCACATTTCAAGTGCTCAAAAACCACATGGGGCTAGCAGCATATAAAACTATCATGGTATGTTCCATTGGACAGTGATGGTTTATAAAAAGTGGCTCAAATATAATTTAGACACAGTGTTGTTAACATTACCGTTAAACAAATAATAGGGTTATATTCAGGATTTTTAGTTTTGCAAATCTGTGAAAATCCAGTATATAAGCCTGATATCTATGGTCCAAGCCTTTTTCCTATGAAAAATTTTGGGGCTGTCAAAGGATTATCTGTGAACCCATGCATTTAGGAGAGGTAAAAGAATGCACGTTAGTCAGACTTCAGGAGAATTAGCATCCCTAATACAATAACTACAAGGAGGACAATTCAAAACCACTCAAGTTTCCTACACTATGGGGTTGGAAAAGCAGCAATATTCTCATATGATTATCATATTAGGAAAGTGTTACATCTTCAAAATATTGAGTCTTCTACTGAATGACCACAGTATTCCTTGACTTTAAGTTTTTCTAAATAAAAATGATTTTTACTTTAACTCCTGTTAACTTTTAATGTTATGAATTTTAAATGTTTAAGTGTAATTTAGATATGTATATAATATATAGATATATCAATCTCAAATATATGAGTAGAGCTGATTCTATATATTGTACTCCAACATCCTTGCTAAATGTACTTATTAACTCTTAAGTTCTCAGTAAGTTATTTTCAATTTTCTGCTGTTTTGCATTAATAATTCCTGTCCAATTCTAACATGCCTTATTTTATGTACTGGCTAGGGCTTGCAATAATAAATACAGACCTTTCTGCTTTTCTATTTATGTCAGAGAGGAAACATTAAAAGCTTTCATTTAAGGAATTGTTTTTAATTTCAGATATAGTTTATCTAACAGATCAATATTTATGTTTCTTATTTCTGCTCCTACTATTCTTTTTTATTTTTTATTTTGGTATCATTAATGTACAATCACATGAGCAACATTATGGTTACTAGACTCCCCCCATTATCAAGTCCCCACCACATACCCCACTACAGTCACTGTGTTCCTATTTTCATTAATGGATGTTTGTCTAGAAATAGCACCATTTCATGTAAATTCTCAAATTTAATGGCCTAACCTTGTTTCTAACAGCCTCTCACAATTTTTAATTGCTGTTATTAATGTAGTGATACCACTTTTTAAATTTCTGATGTTGGTTATTTAACCCTTCTTCATTTGTTCTTGATAAATTTCACCAGAAATTTGTTTCAATAATACTTTCAAAGGATTTTGTTTGATTTATTCCCCTCACTTCACGTTTTTTAAAATTAATTTATCCTTACTATTTGCTTCTGATTTCTGTGCTATCTTCAGCCTTTCTCCCATTTTAAAATATAAATTTAATATAAAATTCCCTCTAATTTAATTTAGCAAACAAAATTCAATAATATATAAAACAATGATACATCATAACACAGGAAGATTTATTCTTGGAAAAGGTAAATTAAGTATTTGAAAATCTACCAGTGCAAATAACCACATTAAGAGAATGTGAAAAACATGATCAAAAAAATGCAGACAAGTATATGACAAATTCAGTATAAAGCAGAGTAGGAACATAACTTTTGTTTTTACTAATCTACTAAAGTATATCTGCAAAATGACAAAGCACTCACACGAGGAAATTAAAAAGCTCCACTTGGACGCAAATGACAGAGAACATGATATGAAAGGCTAGCCTGCCCCAGTATCACACAAACCTGGGTGAAACAAAGAAAGGGGAATGAAGAGTCCTTGTGCATTAAACCAACAAGAGAAAACAAAATCTAGGGTTACACACGGGACAATGGCTTACTGAGCCAGCATCAGGACCATGCAAAGTCTGCGGCCTCCGCACAGTGCGACAGGAGAGGTGGAAATCGCAACGAGCAGACAGCTGAAAGGCGCGGGGTGGCCACCCCTCACCAGCACTTCTTGCTAATGCCTTGCTGGTGAAAAGTGTTTCCAATGTAAACCCGTAAAAATATCCAGAAGATAAAGATTAGAATCAATCACGTCAACAAAACAAAGACCCACATGAACTTAAAATGTAGCGAGCGTAAAAAATAATTTATAAAATTCACTTGTTGTATGTTTCAGAAACTACAAGTTGAATTGTTCAACCTGGTGGGGGGACAGGGATTGTGATTTTTAAAATAGACGTATATGAAAAAGCAATGAAATAAGATGGCAGCTGAAGGAACATTATAAGAGATCAGATTGAAACCTCAAAGAATGGTAATTACGTCCGCCAGAGTAGACCGCGTGCGAGAGGCATTGCGGTCCGGCCGGCCGCAGCAGGAGGAAGGGCCGGGCTGCCCCTCGGGTTGTTAACAAAGGAGGCTTCCGGTTAGAGTTCCAATACGGACCACAGAGACCAAACGGACGAGATATAAGACTGACGTGCCCCCACAGGAAGTGTCCGCCGCGCCCGCCCGGGAGAAGCAAGTAGGAACACATTGTCACAGGAAGCAGGGAGTAGGGGAAAGGGAAAAGAGATGCACACCTCCCAGAAAGGAGCCTCCGAGTCGTCTCCCGCTCTCCGGGCCTCAAGCCCGAAAGGAAGAGACACCGGGGAAGTTCCGGTACCATTTCGGGGAGAAGAAGCTGCCATGGAAGAGCCTGCAGCTCCCACTGAGCCCTGCGAGGCAGCCGGGGCTCCCGCAGGTGCCCAGGCAGCGGGGCAGGGCGCATCTGAGCCCAGCCTCGCGGTGCGCCCGGTCTTACGGCATTCTGCGGCTTCGGGCTCGGCCCACCTCCGCACGTCACGTCTGAGGCCTGCCCAGGCCTCAGGGGGAGGGGCTAGGCCCAGTCAGCTGCAGGGCCGGAGCTGCGGCAGCTGGACGAAGCAAGTCGTCTGCAGGTATTTTCTGCATGGGCTGTGCAAGGAGGGGGAGAACTGTCGATACTCCCACGACCTCTCAGGCCGACAGATGGCCAGGGAGGACCGCGTTTCACCGCCTGGGGCCTCCACATACCTTGGCCCCAGCACAGCTGCTCACGTAGAGACCCTGCCACAGGAAGTGGCGAAAGCCCCCGGTATTGCGTCCTCACGCTCCTTGCCTGTGATTGGCTCGGCTGCTGAAAGGGGTTTATTTGAAAGCGAGACAGGCAGTGCAGGCTTTGAAGCTGTCGGAGGAGCAGGTGCAGAAGGCTGGGAGAATGCCGTTGAGTTTGTTCCCGGGCAACCCTACTGGGGCCGCAGGGTCCCTTTTGTCCCCGAGGCTCCTCTACAGAGCTCGGTGACTGAGAGGGAGCTGATTTCTGTGGGCACAGGGAGGCAACTTTGCCGCGATGCTGCCATGGGGCAGTGCTTTCGTGGGGAGAGCTGTATGTACATCCATGGAGAAATATGCGATATGTGTGGGCTGCAGGTCTTGCACCCCGTGGATGCTGTTCAGAGGGCAGACCATGTAAAGGTCTGCATTGAAGCACACGAGAAGGATATGGAACTCTCGTTTGCGGTGCAACGCAGTTTGGACAAAGTGTGTGGTATCTGCATGGAGGTTGTGTATGAGAAAGCCAACTCCAGTGACTGCCGCTTTGGCATCCTCTCCAACTGCAACCACACCTATTGTCTTAAGTGTATCCGTAGGTGGAGGAGTGACAAACAGTTTGGGAACAGGATTATCAAGTCCTGCCCACAGTGCAGGGTGACCTCCAACTTTGTCATTCCCAGTGAGTTCTGGGTGGAGGAGGAGGAAGAGAAGCAGAAGCTTATTCAGCAGTACAAGGAAGCCATGAGCAACAAGAACTGTAGGTATTTTGCTGAAGGCAGGGGTTTCTGCCCTTTTGGAGAGAACTGTTTTTACAAGCATGCACAACCTGAGGGACTCGGAGAGGAGCCTCAGAGGCAGGGTGCTGGGGCATCCAGTACTTCCTGCGATCCACTTTTGGAGCCTGTGCAGGTGGGAAAGGGCAGCATGCCCTTTAAAAGCAGTAAAAAGAGCTTGTCATGCTTTGGCTGGCCAATTTGTTGTTTAAGTGTTCTTTTTCACTGGGAGATAATGAGCTCCCCTTCTCAGAGGACCAGTGGGACTTGCTTCATTGTGAACTGAAAAGATATTTCAGTGTGAATCTGTAGCATTTTGATGTGGCATGTGGTCTAGTGTGCTGAGGCTCTGTCATCTGCTATTGCCTGTTTTCCCTTTATAGACACATCTATCATTTTCAGGGGCTGTGGAAGCCATTTTTGTAGAGCATCCATCTCTGTTTTTGTGAGCATTCCATCTCATTTCTTTCCCTCTAGTGTTATGGTGTTTTACTGTGTTCTAAAAAAAAAGTCCTTAAAGTTATTGTTTGGTGAAATGAATATTGCTGTCAGTTTATGGTTTATTCTGTCATCTCTGTTTTCAACAGGATTGACTCAGTTCTAGTCTAGTGTTTACAAAGTTTCCACAGTCATTTTGAAGTCCTTCAAGAATAAATGTGACAGGGTGAAGGGAGAAGTCTTAACTGAACAAGGAGCTTTTTGCTACTACAGCCTTAAGAAATGGACCCTCGCAGGGCCTGTGGTACAGCTGCTCATCTCTTGTTTACATGTATGTTCTTCCTCGCAGTCCCCTTCAAGTGCGTCTTTAACCTGCGGTTACCTCGTGGTTTTGTGTTTCATGTGACCAGAACCAGGTGCATATGTTTACAGATTTTATCCTGTTCAGCTTGATGTGAACTTACTTATATTTGAAAGTATATATTTGAGATTTCTATATATATATATACGTGTGTGTGTATGTATGTGTGTGTATATATATATATATATTTATATGCATATAAATGTGTAAAATTGTATATTTGAAAATATATATAAAAGATAAACACTATAATACAATGTTTACATAATAAATACAGAGCTGGAAGCTGATGGTCAAAGACTAATAGGATTCGCTATTTTGTAAGTGAGGTATGTGAATCTTCTTTTCACAAGCTATGAAGATTAACATCTAATTAAAACAGATGTTTAAGTGACTCTGGCCAAATATGTCAGACACAGATGTTAGGACTTATAAAAATAATGACATTGGTAATTCTTATGTTGGCATTAAAGCTTACTCTGCTATTATAAGTACAGAAATGTGTATTCCCATGTGGTTTAGCACAGTTTCATTATTCCTTATAACAGCACAATCAATCCTGAAATCAGAAGCACAGTTCTTTGTATTCATTATTTTGTGATATCTCTAGACATTACAAATAAGGGGCTTTTGAAAAAAATTTCCAACATATATGTGACAAGATTAGGAAAGAGGAAATAAAATAATAAAAAATATGGAAACCAGTCAGAATACAAGAAGGAAAGGCTTTTAAAAATTAAATATAGAAGGAACAAAGTCTAAATACAATAGTAGTATGGGAAGTTATAATACCATGTAACCATCATTAGGTTAAATGAAAATGGTTTAGAAACTTAAAGTCAAAGATTATCAGATTTGATTAAAGCTAAAATGAAATTATATGCTGTTTTAAAACACAGACCTACAACATAAGAATAGAGAAACATTAAAAGCATAGGATTAAAAAACAGGTACTGGCTTTTTATCATAGATAAAGTTGATGTTAAGGATAAACACATTGCTGGAGATACCTAAGGATGGTACGTAAACATTAAATTTTAAGATAAAACTATTCCAATTTTGTATTCATTTAATAAAATAAGATCAGATACACACATAAATAAATAATAGATAAGAATAGAAAATACAAAATCTTACTGGGCAGTTATAAAACATCTTTTCAGTAACTGAACATGCAAGTAAAAAAGAAGAATGTGAGTTGAACAGTACAATTCTAACAATTTACCTAATTGACCTGTATAAAATGCTGCATGCATCAATTGCAGAATGTTCTCTCTGCTAACATAGCTGAAAAATATGCTGAAGTCCTGAGTCCCAGGAGATTCAGGTGTTCCTGATCATCAAAGACAGGGCACATTTACAGAGTTTATACCATGTACTAACCACTCGTCAGCACTAATTTAATTTTCATAACCACCTTATGAAGTTCTTGATACTTAATTTTTCTCATTATCCCAATGAGATAAATAAGGAGAGAGGTTAAGTTACTTGTACATAAAGCTATAACCCATAGTTATAAATTAAAAGAACAGTGTATAGAAGTCAGTATATTTCCAGAGCAGAGGCACTGTGCTCCCTCTTCCTCCATACTTATGACCAGGAGCAGGTGGACCAGCTGAATACAGTTACTCTAAATACATGTGCAATCTTCAAATATGAATGATTCAACCAGCTGGGACAGAGATGGGTATGAATAAGCCCTTACAGAATATGAGAGACTTTTAGCTTTATCTGTGGGCTTCCAGACTTAGTATTTCTTAGTCCACTACTCAGAGTGTACCTCAGCCTTCCATATTTTTATACTGCCTCTCCCCTGTTACATTCTTGACTTCATGGGTTATTATCTCAGCCTGTTTCACTGGGGTTGTTGCCATATTCCTGCCTTCTTGATTCCTCTTATCCCCCAAATTCACCAATTAGGAGACCTTGGATGCCTGACTATTATTGGCATACAGAGTGAGTGACTCCAAATAAAATTCAAATATGCCCCCAACCCTGGGCCACCCTAATCATGCCAGGAAAAAAGGGCTTAGATGACTGAACAACCAAAGAATGGGACCAGATGGGTCGCTCTCAGACTACTGACACCAAGTCTTAAAAATGATCTCTGAGCAGTGGCTAAGCTATCATGGAGTGGTTTTTAAGACAAACCCAGAAAAATTTGAAAACTTTGTCCTAATGGACATTAGCTAACATTGTGAAGTACCATGTTTTTAACAAAACAGTATCTTGAGCCAAATAATCATATTAAAGTTCAGGAAATACATTGGGACAAGGGTTAGTAGAAGATAAATTAGTTTGGGTGACAAAGGATAATTAGTATACTGTTTCAGCCATGCATTCTGGAACAAGTTACTTAAGTTTTCTATACCTCCATTTCTTTATATGAGAAATGAATTTGACATCACCTATTTTGCAGGGTTGTTGTGAAGATCAGAGCTTGTTGGACAAAGAGCTTGAAACAGATGGTATTTTTAAAGTGCCATGTATAAAAGTGGGATTTATGTGTGTTTGTGGACTTGAAAAGAGCTTGCACAAGGCTTAATATTCCACCAGTTTTTTTTTTCCTTTGGGAATCTTTGGAACTTGTATTAAGGTAACATTATTATTTTATGATTTTTTTTCAAAGGAAGTACCCTTCTGTTCATGATTTCAAAAAGACCCAAAGTAATTTTTCCATTGGAAGTCACTCAGCTAAAACTAAAAATGTGCTATTCAATTCCTGAAAATATTTTAAACACAAAAAATGTGTTATTTGTGACAGATGTCTCCTTGAGGAAAATAAGAGATAAGATGATGTTTTAAAAAATGGGAGTCTAAGAGAAATACATATACCATATGATTTTATTTATATGTGGAATCTAAAAAAATAAAACAAACAATAGAAATAGACTCATAAACACAGAGAAAAAATTGGCAGGTGCCACAGGGGACAGCGGTGGGAATGGGTGAAGGGGATAAAGAGGTACAGAATTCCAATTATAAAACAAGTCATGGAGATGAAAAGTACAGCACAGGGCATATAGTCAATAATATCATAATAACTTTCTATGGTGAATTTTCCATATAAAACTAATACAATATTTTATGTCAACTATACTTTAGTAATAAAAGCAGGCATCCCTGTTGCCTCTTCAGCCCATTGAGAAAGAGATCAAGTAATGGGGATGTCACATCCACAGACCCTGGACAAAGTATTCCAAGGGCCTGCCCGTGAAGACAGCCGGGCTGCTGCTGTTGCATTGGGGCACAAAGGAGCTCTGGACAAACAAAAGTTTGTTCTGTCAGTGATCCAGTGTGTGCTGGCCCCCTCCTCCACAAGGACACATGGATTAAGCCTAGGGTCTGTACACAGGTTTCATTAAAAGCACACACAAAAAATGCCTGGGTGAAGCAAGCCTAATTTACTTTTTGTGTATCTAAATTTGGTGTATGTACAGAATTACAAATATGCTAAAAATTTACCTAATACTCTTTCCTCTCTAATATATGGAAGCCATTCATTTACTGAATTTTAGTGACTTAAAGGGAAACATTTTCAGTCCATATTTGATGCCCATATGCTTTTCTATTTTGCACCTTTGTAAACATCTTGGGAATATGGTTTCTGTTTCCACGGTAGACTAAAAACTGCAAGGTCTGTGTGAGGTGCAGTTAGGGTGTAAATGGGAAGAGGGATGTTTGGAAAATAACCAGACACTAGTGCTAAGAAGTAAATTATACATGTCAGAGATTTTGCCATGAAAATATATAGTATATCACATTTTCCACTGTTGAATGGGTACTAAGAGAAAATAATTGAATACGTATTAGATCACAGTGAAACTGTCAAATGTTAAACCGTTAAATGAGAAATTTGTAGTACAGGCAACACAAGAAAATAAGCCACTACCATATGAAAATTATTTTAAATATCTCTCTTTAAAATAACTTGATGAAAGAGGGAACCCAAAATCATTTAGCAGTATAGAATAACAAAAAAATTATATACCCTAATGTATAAGAGAATGAATACTCAGAGAAAACAAATTTTAATACTAATAGACATTGTATAGAAAGACAAATAACATAATTAAATAGGTATCCAAGTCTGTAAATTTTAAAGACACTACATGTACACACACAAGCAGAAAGAATTAAGAATGAGTAAAGCAAAAATTACTCAAGAAAATAAAAATATAAAAGCTGCTTCTTCAAAAGAATAAACATAAATGATTTTAAAAAAGGACAAATTGCAATTAAAGTAAGACACAATAGGAAGTAATCAAAACACACTTTAAAATGGGAGATAAATCCTTGTTACACTGAGTCAAAAGTGCTTGAAAATAGCAAAGAAATTAAGAATTTTCAACATACATATAATTTTCCAAACAGTCCAGAAGACAAAGTTAATCAAATCAATTACTAATGAAAAAGTAAAGTTGTCAGGAATGTACTTAACTCTCCTGTCCCCAAAAAAGAGAAGGAAAGGTAAAATTTTCTCCAGAAATTTTCTAAAACCTTTAAATATACTGCAATGCTACAGAAACCATTTCAGAGAACAGAGGGGAACACTTACACATAACTTAGGGATGACACATAGCACTGGTGTCAAAATGTTACTGCTACAATACAATACAAAGATAACTAGAGCCCCGTCTCATTTATGATTATTGATGCCAAAAAATCTCAAATATTAACAAACAAAAATTAGCACAGTAGAAGAATTAGATATCTTAGGTTAGAATTAGGTTATATTCTAGGGAAAAAGGATGGTAGAATATGGTAAAAAATTTTAACATATCAAAAGAAATAATCACATGAGCCTTTTCATATATCTAAAAAAGGAAACTAAATTTGTGATCGACTATTAATATATATATATAAAGTTTAAATATTATCTGTTTCTGTATACATATCTATAATTTTTAAAAATGCATAGTCACAAAAACATAACCAAAATAAGCAAGGAAAGGAAAGCAGAAATTAAATAATAGAGAAAAAAATCAAAACATTAAATATCAATACTGACTTTATTTTTTGAAAACACTTTATAAAAGAGAGAAACCATTATCTAACTTAGGAAAATGAGGAAGAAAAGCACATACGCAATCACACACACATGGGCACCCAATAGGAGGAG